TTCTGGGATTGTCAATAATATTGTAAATGTGCCCACTTCACTCCTTCTGGCCTCCTCCTCCTCCTCCTCTATTTTTAGCAACAGAATAAGCCCCTCTTTGATTTTATTCCAGCAAAATCTCAGCAGAAATTTATCATATAAACCAAATAAAAGTGTGGGGTGGGTTTGGTTGAAAATAGAACAGCCTAGCTCCTGCCATCCAGCACAAAGTCCCTCCCATGCCACCCTTGAGGTACCTCCTGAGACCGTCATACTTGAAAGCCACTGACCTTGGTCTGTGCCCTTGCTCTGACGTTATTTCATATTCTGATAGTGTGTGTAGCTATTCTTCAGGATGCTAATGTCCCAGCGGTGAAGACAACTAGGATGAATGGGTGAATTCAAGCCCTCAGACCTCATAAACCACAGGACTGGTAACTAGCAGCCTCTGTATCCTTTCAGTTTCTAGACCCAGAGCTCCTTGTCTTTGAGTAGCTAGGATGGGCCAAAGGAACCCACTTCCTAGGGTTTTCTCCAGCTTAATCCCCAGTCCTGTGTATTTTACCTTTCCTGTCCCAGTTGAGATGCTGAAAACAAAATAGGAGGCAGGACCAAGAAATATAAACATGTTTGGTTAGAGTTGTTTCTGCAAAATTTGGTTACCTTGAAATTATGTAATCATACTGAGTTTCCTGTGGGAGAGGGGGAGATTTCCATCGTAATTTGAGACTAGTGGCAGTTTTGCCTCTGGCAGAGGTAAATGAGAATGTGAATGCTGGCATGCCAAGCAACTGCATGAATGCACATCTGTGCTCATAGTCTCAATCAACCTCATTGGTTTCTCCTTCTCTTGCTGTGGCTATGACAGCCTCAATGGTGTCTGCCACCTGATGCAATGACATTTGCACAGAGCAAGGCCCACATTTGTTCTTATTTGAATTGCTGTAAGACACTCTGGTCTCTTTTGTATGGCCACATAGAAAAGAGCCTAATCCTTGGAATAAAATGATCCCCAGGTTTAGAGGTCAAGTTTCTTAAGTGTTTCTGCCTACCTACGTTGATACAGCTGCCTGTGATTCTCCTGCTATACCTTTGTCTCTATGAATTTCTTGTTCTACTTTCTCTCTTCTCTCTCCTCTGGCACTTTCATCCATTTCATATCCAACTCAAAGAAGGCCAAGAATGAGATTTTAAAAAGCAAATAGTTATTCTGTAGAATGATAAAATACTGAAAATAGGCCAGGTGTGGCTGAAATTGTCCGATAGATATATTTTATTGGGCATTTTATTTGAATGCCTTTGGACTTTGCAGATATTTTTCCATTTGCCACAGTCCCCACCCAGTCTTTATTATGTCTCACAGCCACCCAGCTTCACGTGTTTACATTACTGACCTGTTTTTAGAGTCAGTCTGGTCCCTTGTCGAATTGCAAGGCTTTTCCAGTCTGCTTTCCTTGGGAATCTTCTGTGTACAATTTAGAATTCTAGAGTATTATAAAAGACATTGCTACTTTGTAGGTGTTTACAATCAAATGGGAGGGATCATTAAAGTGCATGAAAGATAAAAATACAGTGCTCATTTATGTAAAAAGCAGTTAAAGAGAGTTACGCTTCTAGCTGGAAATGATCCATGATGCCAACCATAAATCTTACTAACTGACAAAAGGATTCAGTGGATTCTGTATGTAACTATGTGAATTTTGCTTGAGTAGTTGATTCTGGTTAATGGAACTTTAGCTTGTTCATAGGGTTCTTGGAGCTGTACTGTGACTTGATAATGAGGCCTTTATGGCCATATCTTCAAGTGTCAATCTTCCTTTCCAGTTCTTGTTTCCGTACATACCTTCTACCATACTTTGTATCCATAGGGTGGTTTTAATTCTTCTCATTTGGACTGTGGACATATCTACTCATGCAGTTTGCCTGACTGTTGGTACTGAAATTGGAAGACTCTTTCCCTCTATTAATAAAACCCTCTATTTTTTGTTTCCATTTCCCAGCAGATATATGGAGTGATCACTCATTTCAGACTGATCCAGATTTGCCTCCCGGCTGGAAAAGAATCAACGACATTGCTGGGACCTATTATTGGCACATCCCAACAGGAACGACTCAGTGGGAACGGCCTGTCTCCATCCCAACAGATCTTCAGGGTTCTAGAAAAGGGTCACTTAGTTCTGTAACGTCATCTCCCACCCCGGAGAACGAGGTAAAATGGAATGTCTTTTTACCAGCTTAGTAAAGTGGGTGTAACGTGTGATTTCTTTTTAGACTAGTTGCTTCTGCCCCAACAGGTCATTAAGGTAAGCTTTTTGATTATCATGTATGTTGCGTTTGAAACTCAGTAATGCTTCCTCATAGTAAATAATGTTAATATCCATCTTTCAGGGATGTTTTCATTTTTTTAATGGCTTTTGGTCTCTTGAAACACCATTCCAGCTACAGAAAGCAAGAGGGGCTGATTAATGAAAAGTGGTTAAGAGTCCTTAGGGCTTGCTGAGGCAGTACTTTACTCTGCAGGTACCATTGCATGGTGCTGGCTCCATAAAATATTTACACGCAGAAGAACATCTCTTGGCCAGACGTGTTATAATTAGAAAGTCATACAGTTATAAAAATATATCTTTTTAGCCTTGGGTTCATTTCATAGTATGGAAAAGATATCTCCAAGAATTACCCTCGAGAGCCCTTAAATGCTTAATTTCTATTAAAAAAAAAGGATCTGTTTATTTAGCACAAGTGACATTATTTTGGAAATAATTAGCAGCATAAATTTCTGC